CCCCAAAACCCCAAAACCCCAAAACCCCATATATTGCTAAATTATTGTAGCTCTATAATCAATTAATTAGATAGCATGAATTCAGATTCACAAATTTGTATTATAGTGAGACTCATAAAAGAGAAACATCTGCCTCTGATAGTAAACAAAACAGACACTGTAACTAAATTGAAGCAGTTAATCTCTGAGATAAAGTCATTTCCTGATACAACTCGCCTATTACTGAATTGTGGAGGAAAACACTTAATCAAAGAAAACAACACTTTAGAGGAATACGGAGTACAAGAGAACTCAACCATCTTTTGTGTTCACAGGTTATGTAATTCTCCTCGCAAACTGAATATTTAAACCTAAATCAATAAATCCAAAAATATCTATTCAAGTTTTAACAATAACTGGAGAAAAAATCATTATTCTGATACACAAAACTGATACTGTCATGAAGCTCCGAGAAAGAATTTTCACAAAGAAATCATTGATCGAACCTCAATTTCCAGTTCTAATATTCCAGTCACAATTTCTCACAGAGGATACCAAGAAATTATCAGACCTCGGCTTCAAAAACAACTCATCAGTATTCTGAATCATCAAGTACTTACATTTTTACTAGTTCCCCCATGTTCTTCTCTAAGTTTTAACACTAAATTCAGCTGCTTGAGTTTGGATTCTGAACTTGATTAACCAGATATCTTGTTATTAATCATCTCCATTTAGATCAAGCAAACTACTTGAGTGTCTAATATGTCTCTGAGAGTCAGAACCTGATGCAGACTGTATTACATGTCCAAGAGGACACTACATTTGCAGTGGATGTACACCATCATCTCTAGAGAATATATTTGCTTCACCAGAGGCAGAAATTCCTGTGAGATGTCCTGATTGAAAAGAGTTGATAGATACTGGTATAGTAGAGAAGCACTTATATAACAATGGTATGTTCCATTTTACTTCCAAGAAGATCCATTTCTGAGTTTTTAGGCTAAATTCTCTTTTTATTGGCTCCTCAATAATTTGATAGCAATCAAATCTTACTGTTTTAATGACACATTTTTGTGTATTCTCATCACATTCTACAGAAATCTTTAAAGAAAATAGCCTTTTCCTCTAAAAATATACGAATGCTACAGTGAACTTGCCACGAAGGACCCAAAGGTCTACAGGGCTCATATTTGCCCATTAAATTGTGGCTACCCTGAAATTGTTGAGATAGAAAACGACTGAATCCCTCTGTTCGTCTGCCAGAGAAAAGGCTGCGAGAAAGTTAGCTGTAAAACATGCCATGAAGAGATTAAGGTAAGAACAGTTATAGATAAAGCTTTACCAACTCTAACTATTTCTTCCTGTTTTAATGAATGTATAGACTCCTGACTCCGAACGCCTGAATGAAGAAGAATACAACGAAATAACAAAACAAATGAACAAGCACTTCACTTGTTACGACAGTAAGATTTTAAAGGAAGAATGGGAGGAGATCTTAATGAAAGGATCTTCTCGATCATGACCTAAGTGTGGATATGGAGGAATTAAAGATGAAAACTGTACCCATATCATTTGTGCCAAATGCTCTACTATGTGGTGTTATTTCTGTGGGCTTAGTGAAAAAGACTGAGACAAAGACCCTGAAATTGCAGCAAGGAGCACTAAAAAGATTTTTGGACATAACAAAAATTGGGAAACCAATGCTAAAAGATGTCCTCTATTTATTACGAAAATAGTCAAAATAGATTCTAGATATAGTTCAAAGGATGAGAAATGACAAAAGGTCTTCCATAAGCTCATCCTATATACTGAAGTGAGAAACTTTATCAATAAGCATGGTATGAAAGCTTATAAAGGACTCATGAAGCAGTTCCCCCCTCTAGCAGATCACGGAATTGATATTAAAAAGGCGATGAGTGTAGATTTGACCATGATTAAGAGGAAGTCTTAATTTCTTTCGAATTTGTTGAATTTAATTTGCCTCTTCAATTAAGAGATCAAGAAATGGGGTTTTGGGGTTTTGGGGTTTTGGGGTTTTGGGG